GAGTCACAATGGAGTCCTTCAGATATTTGCTGCATCTTTCTACGCTTGTCTTGGGAGATGCCGTTGCTTTCACTGTGGTGCCTTGTGCTGATCTGCAGTTTATAGGCTTTTCATTACTAGCCACATTAGGGAAATGCTGTTGTTTGCCACTGGAAGTGAAATGGCAGATAAAGAAAATTGCCAAGTATGATAACTTCTTAGATGCATCTGGAGCACTGCAAGGAAGATTCACACACTAGACAAAATCGTAATTGTTCTCTAATACTTTGGCTCTTACAAGAGAAGAAGGGGAGGATTCTAGTGCAAGCAGAGAAATCTCAAAGTGGTTTAGATGGAAAGTGGAAGATCAAGGTCGTTGCATAGAAAGCTGGAGGTTGGGCTGCCAAATTTACTTGTTCTCATGTTAGATGATTGAATAGCTGCCAGGACATTGGTGAGTTGAGTAGTTTGAGGGGAGGAGAAATGAGTGGAGTCCTTAAGAAGTGTCATAAAAGTTAATTCCTTGCCTTTTTAATACCAGTCTCCTTTTTCTTCTAATTAAAAATCTAATACTCCTGAAAATATTCAATGTTCTTAGTTATTTTGAAGGAGCAGCCCTCTTAGAATGATGAGAAGGATCAAGGCTTGCATTCTCAAAGAGCGTAGGAGGAGATAGATGGTTAACCTTGCTCTTTTGGGTACAGCATGTGAATTTTGCAACTCTGGAGTACAGGAGATCAGACACAGAGAGAGCAAAATGAACACAGTGAGAGATTAGTTTTTCTTTGACAGGGTTCAGGGTAATGGCAGGAACAACAAGTCTGCCTGAATTTTGGCTTGGGTCCTATCTCTTCCATAACCTAATTATGTAGACTGGGACAGGTTATTAAGCAGCATATGGGGACCCTTTATTCTCTCAGCCAATACTAAGATGGGAACAGTGCCATTTGGGTCACATAAGTCGAGAGAGAGAGAGAGAGAGAGAATGCAGTCAGGGAGCCTTTGTCTTCGCTTTCCCCATTTCAAGAAGATGCATGCTCTTCTCAGATCTCTAAATAAAGGGAAGAGACAAGGAGATATGTGACAGCTAAGAGGACATCAGACATCAAGCAAATTTTTGTTGTTGTCCTTAAGTTTCTGTTTTCACTTTGGTTTGCTGAATGTATTTTAAGGAAGTGTGTGGCACTTAAGAGGCTGAAATTCCTCTGCTTCACACTCTGATTGAATTTAGTCTATACTTTTGGCACAATAATTCTTCATAGGACAATTGAAATTTCCTCAGTAACTTTTGAAAAAGAAAATATTTACTACCTTTTGCATAAGAAACACAAATATATTTTTTTCAACCCTCTGCCCCGACCAAAACAAACCAACTTTACTCCTATTTTTCTCATATTCCTTTGGGGTTTGTGCGGACAGTGGTTGTTTAGCTAGAGGAACCCAAACTTCTCCCATGCTAGGACACACACATTTTGATAACATCTTGGAGCTAGGCCAATTTTGAAATTCTGAAGTTGAACGCACACAGTCACTCTTCTCATTCAGGATAAACTAACAGAACTCTGCCAAGATTAGCTGATGGAACTGTCAAGTTCTGTCAGTTGCCTCTGTTTTCCAGTGCGGAAAGCCTGCTTTGCTACCTCACGAACTCTGCTCCTCACTCAGACAATAGGGAGCTGGGCTTGGGCAGCAGCAGGTAAAGTGAGTGGGGTTTGAGCAGGGCTTTGGGGTGAATGGAAGATTTAATAGGAGATGCTTGTGGGTGGGATCCATTTCTATGCGGGGATGCTGGGGTGTTTCTGAGAAACCAGAGGCTCTTTATTTAGGCACCAGTGTAGAGACACTTGACCTGAGTGAGCTCTGTGGCACACCATTCAGCAGCATTGTAGGGAGCCAGGGAGCGTTAAGCAGCTGTGTGGAGGGGGTTGTTGGCTTGTCTTGTGTTTTGTATGGTGCCTAGCACGGTGAGAATGTGGTCCGTGACTAGGGCTCCTAGGTGTTATGGTAATACAACTGATACATAATAATAATGGGCAGAGTGGGGAGGGTGAGGAGTGGAGATTTTTGGGGGTGGGGAATGGCGCATAGAGAAGGAGGGGTCAGAGCAGGTGTGTGTGTGGTGGGGAGAATGGAGAGGAGTTCCACTTTGATTAACCACCTGTGGTTCATCAGAATTTAGATAATCTCTGATGACTCACTTATGGTTTGTTAGAGTGCACATAGATCTTCTCCCCACTGTTCCTTGCTCCTCACATACTACTCTCACATAGCCCTGCTCCGTCATATGCACCCCTGGTCCGCACCATGACTCCTACTCTCTGGCTATATTCAGTTTTTAAACACTGACATAAAAAGCCTGAGTAGTCGGGTTGGGGTTGTGGTTTGAGGAAGCATATTGAGGTGTGGGGCTGTAGGGAGACATGAAGTGGTGCAACGGGGGCAATCTGGGTCATGCACTGGAGGCTATGGGAGGAATTGGGCTGTGCCAGGGAACAAGGGGAAGGAGTACAGCTGGGATTGGGGGGCAGGGTATATTTTTATCTTGTATCCATCTGAATAACGTTTAGCATTTGCAGAGATTTCTTAAACAAGTTCCATCAAACAACAACAAAATTTATTTTGTTAACACCGGTTACAGTTGCTCAAGCGTTCATACTACCAACTCATTCGTAAGAAAAATCAGGAGTCGAGTCACTAGTTAAGTACACACACAACCTTTGAAATCTACAGTTGCATATCCACTGCCCACATCTGCTGCTTCCGTTCACAACCCTAACTCTGACCAGAAACATTGACGGTTGAAAGAAGGAAACATTGGTGGTCTTCATAACATCACCTTAATAACATTGCTATAAACATAAACTATAACACTGAAAAACAATAAATATGATACAGTCTTTTCCACTAAAAAACAATTCCCTTGATTAACAATCATCCAGCAGAACCCACTTAAACACAACCATCCCTATACACAATAAACACCTACACTTCTGTGTGACACAAGTTCAACATTTTAGATGATTAGAAAAGCTCCGTTTCTAACCACTATGCTTGGTTGGAGTTAAATTATGATTATTTCTTATTTGTATTATAGTAGTTCCTAGTGGCCATGACTGAGAGCAGAGTTCCATTGTGCTAGGTGATGTACATACACCAAATCTTCAAGGCAGGGACTGACTGACTTTGTATATCTTTTGTGTGCATGTGGTTATATGGCTTTGTTAAATGTGTCATTGACATTCTTTAAGGCATATCTGCTATCAAGTTAAATGTTAAGAAATAGCTGGTAATTACCAAAGCCCTCTTTAAATTAGTATTAAACTATCACAAATTAAATAAAATCTGCGTAATCTCAAAATTACTGTACATTTACCAAGCAGTTAGTCAGAGCTGGCTCCATGCTGACATTTGAAAGATGTGCTGTGTGTGGAACCTGGACATTTGGCAATAATCTTCCTGGCATCAAACGCTATCTGGATGGTCATGCTGTGGAAATGCTTTTTGTTTTTCTCAAAAATCAGCTGGTGCCACACAGGGAGTGTGAGTGCCATCACATCATTCCTAGGACTTCTAGGAAAGCGGTAATGATAAAGAAGCCTTAACTGATTATTCTGTTGCTGTTGGGGAGTGCTTAGAAACTTGATAGATGCCTGAATATCCTGGCTGGCGAGGAAATGAGTTTACCAGATACTAGGAGGCTGATTCCATGCATCATAGTGAAAGGGCACAGAGTACTTTTTGAAGAGCAGGAAGGGGGAAACATTTGGCTTGACTTGTTGAGTAGAATGCATTCATGTAGGCTCAAAGTGTTTGCATGCTCAGACGGGGTAGCATGGTGTACAGTAACCTCCTACCTTTGTTCAAACTTTAATGGAAATTTTTAAACAATTGAAACATTTTTTTTAAATAATATTGGGATATTAGTGGATTATACAGCATACTTAGTCCTCACATAGAAGTGAACCAAGGGTCATTTCTATACATTCTGTGAACCAAATGCAGATGGGAATAAGCCAGTGCAACTCCCTGGGCAGCTTTTGGGCCAAATTCAGTGATGATGTAAATTACAAATTGGGCAGAAATTTGTGTATGTTGCAAAATAGTGGAATTTGTATCAATTTGGCATTGATTAGGAACTAAGTTTTCTGCTCAGTTACTCTAGATTTATATTGGTATAACTCCATTGACTTCAGTAGAGTAATTGAAATTTACATCTGTATAAGTGAAATCAGCATTTAGTCCGAGGTCTTCAAAATGAGCATAATCTATATGCCAGGGAATAGAAGATGGGCTGAGGGCAAGTAGCCACTTGTAGCAGGAAAACTAATTAACAGGAAGAGATAAGATAATGGAGGACTCCATGTTTCAATGTAACTTGCATCATCCTCAGCACTCCCAGATGTAGTCCTGGTGTAAGCAAGGGCAAACTTTGCTTACTCCCTTTTTCATAGGTGCTGAATTTGGTTCCCATAGAATACAAAATCAGTGTAATTTAAACTCACTTTCTGATCGTAATTCTGATCTCATTTATTCCAGGTCTGTAACTTACACTACCACACAGATCACTGCTGAACTTGGCCTGTTTGTGTGAGCACATACTCTTCTGTGTGCATACACACACAAAAATATAACATTCAAGGGCTTGATTGTGTAGCCCCTACTGACATTAGTGAGTACTTACTACTCACATGAGGAGTAGTCCCATTGACTTCAGTCGTCAGTAACGATTGCACAGGCTTGTCCTAAGTGGGGGTAAAATTGCTCAGTAGTCCTTGGATTGGTATTTCCTGCAAAAAGAGCTTTAGTATTACAGGCTATACTCTTACAAGTGTGAGATTTACATGTTGTTTTCACTTCTGCCACCAGCATCAGCAACCATTTAAAAATGGAACTGAGGAATGTGTATATAAAAAACTCATACCTAGTACATGAAAAATATGATCTATTGTTACACAGTTATCTGAAACTGAGTAAAAGATAAAAATAAATATTCCTTTTCTTCCCTTTTCCCATCTCCCCAGGCCCTTCCCTCTGTCTGGCCAAATTTCTGTCCTTGGTTACATGCCGACAACCCCATTGACATTGAAATTGCAGGGGTGTAACTAAGGGTAAGTTTTATTCCTCTGTGTATACGGGAGGTTCATGTGTGTGCTATATGAATCAGGTGTAGGAGCTGGTTAATTATGAAAGAAAAAATGGCACATGAATGAAATGTGAATGAGAAGAGCCATGATAACATTGTTTGCCTAAAGATGTCATCATGGCACAGACATGCTGAATATTTTCTTTAGTTGCTAGAATATGACAAAAGAATAACTTGTTAAGTAACATCAGAGAAATGTACTTGCTCAGTAGACTAGCAGCAAATGTACAATACAGTAAATGCCAAAGGCAAGGATTCAATTTAATAGTGACTTAAGAACCCTGCAATAGTTCAGAATTTTGCTTTCCACATCTCATGTCTTGATAAAAGAGCAAAAGATTTGACTTTTTTTTACCTCTCTAAGAAACAGTTCCACTTTACAGAAGATGTGCATTGGTTTTACCAGTCTTTAGTTGTAAAGACTATACCTGGACAAACTTCCTAACATTGAAACTTTATAACTTTGTGTTTGTTTGGACGGACACACACACACACACACACACACACACACACACACAGAGAGAGAGAGTAATGTCACAGATATATTTTCAAACTATAAAGTTGTGTGGTGCTAATCAGAACCAATAGGTACTCTAAGGCATCTTTACATTTCCAGTTAGGTTTTGAACTTTTGGACTACTAAATTTTATTGTCCTCGTTAAGAGTCACAGTCAGTGGAGTCAATGGAGTTAGACCAGGAATTAATTTAATTAATTTTTTGTTAAATATTCAAGAGTTTTCTAGTTTGATTTTTAGATTAGTTTAAAACAGGTTAGAAATTAAATTTGTTTAAAATCTTTGGCTCGGGGCATCCATACTGCCACCGTTTTCAATCAAAATAATTGCCACCAGTATGAGGCTTGGAAGTGCTTTCCATACTTTAACGGTTTTGCCCTGATATTCCACCCTAATGTATGCAGACACTAGTGGCCACTGGGTGGCCCCACTGAAGTCAGTGCAAAGGTTTGCTCACACGGGGCATCTTGCACAGTCGGAGGCTTGATTTCAAATGCAGCCTGAGAGTCATAATTGGCCAGTTTTTGAACTCAAACTCATCACACTGGTTTTCCTGATCTTTTTAGCTTCCAGAGTATTTGAATGTGAAAAATGGGTGATTTACTTTAAATAGTTTTCCTTCTATGTTTGTCTTGCTATCTGCTACCCCAAAAGACTATATTTTATCCATGAGTGTAATCTGTCCATTAGTTTATGGCTCCAAAGTCTTCCTGGAAGTGTCACAAATCCAGTGTCCCTGAGTGCTAGATTTAGTATTTGAAGCTCAAATTTAGTTTTAAAATCTATAAAACGTCTGTACTCCTACAGCTCCCAACCAGTTGTGCTTTCAAAGAAGCTCAAGAGCTCAGATTATTGTTTCCAGAGTCCACTTTAATTTACGTTTAGTCAAATGGTTCACTATCCATCTTCAAGGGTTACTGTCAACTTGAAAAATCACATTTGCCTGAACATTTTGTACCTAATGTAGTTAAAAGCATAGTTACTCCTTACAACCAGGACAGAGCTTTACTGGGGTTAGAACTGTGGCCTTAGTACAAATGATCTTTGGGTCCAGTTCTTCCACCTGGAAATATGAAGGAAACTAAATCATATCTACGACAAGGGCTGAGCCAGTAACTCAGTATGGAGAGTGTTTCTCAAATGAGGTTGCGCATTTATTAGGAAAAAGTGAGAAGAAAAAGAATTTGGATGGATGGGTGCGGGGGGGGGGGGGGGGCGTTAAAAAACAAACATAGCAAAATGAAATAAAAATCTGGTATATTAAATAATCAGACAAACTGTACCAGTGGCCCAATTCTGATTCCTTTGCCCAGCTACCCTAAATGCTGCAGTGTGATGGCATCAGTGATCAGGCGGAAGTGAGTGTGGTTCAGTTGTGCTGGCGTGACTCCCTTACCTGAGTTCACTTGCAGCAGCAGCCTCTCTGTGTCCTAAGGTGATGTCAGGATGTCCTCATCCACATCCTTGATGCTGCCTGCCCATGCACTCTTAAGGTGCACATCACTCCTGAGAGCCTCCACTCCCTGATACACTCAGGAGCCATCTAGATGCTGGGATGAGGTGACAGCCGGGAGACCTGGTCTCACACACAATACCTGGGATTACTACAGCTGAAAGGAGTTAGTAAGAAAGTTATTTTTCTCAGTTTATTTTGTTCATTTATGCATGGTCACTTTCAGTTTCTTCTGTATGGTAAATTTCTTTGTTGCTGAAAAGATTCTTATAAACATTGATAAGGAAGCAGAAAAATCATTTTCATTTCATGTTTTTAAAGAGGTAACCCCTGTCCTCTCAAATTGTAAGGTGCTTTATCAGAATCAGGATTTCTTTTTTTTTTAAAATTAGACACACATTCAAAAAGTTTCAGGTGACGGAGTCCCTTCAAGCTTTTTTGCTGACAAGACTTCCTTGCTTGAGCAAAGTTGAATTGCTTTTATAGGTGCCATCCAAAATGGCTGCTTAAATCCACGGGAATTTTGCATGAGTCAGTCACACCCATTTTTATCAAAACTACACTCTTATTGAGATTAGCCACTGTAAATGCCAAAGACCGGTGCAAATAGAGATTCAGACTTAATGGGATGATGAAATATATGCAAATCTTAAGCACATAAGCAAGATTGATGCATTTGTTTAATCACATTTAGAGATCCAGGGGCAGATCAGAGCATAGAATTTGCCCCTCAGTTTGAATGGAGAAAACTGTTCATGTTGCAAATAAAACCGAAATTCAAATCTTGCAAAGATTTACACACCTTCTTACCATTTCAAATTTGTTAGTAGCCCCATTGACACTTCAATGGGACTATTCACAGTGCACAAAGTTAAGCAGTGCAAGTCTTTGCAGTGAGAGGGCCCAATTTTTTTTTAACCCCTTGACGCTGGGAGTCAGGTTTGTTGATTAAGTATGATTCTTATTGCTAACAATGTGCTATGCAGACACCACCGTACCATCAAATTAACATTGATTTCTATTATGGGGCAAAAGACATAACTGTCCACTTAAACAACGAGGAGTCTGGTGGCACCTTAAAGACTAACAGATTTATTTGGGCGTAAGCTTTCGTAGGTAAAAAAAACCACTTCTTCATATGCATGCAACTGTCCATTTAACACCCAATGCATTTGATGTGTTTTTTTAAAGGGATGAAGTAGATATCAGTGCTATTTAAATATGGCATTTTCCATATCTACTATATTTAGATTGGGAATGTTGCAGAAATAATCAATGGGCTGACACAGTCCTTATTTTATTCACCATTGGTTTATTTCCCAATTTGTTTCTATCAGTACATGAGTAAAATTTTCAAAACCACTTAAGACAGCTGAATCCCACTGACTTTCGATGGCTCTGTGTACGTTATGAGTGAGGTATGTTTCCTCTGCTCACTTATACTTGCTCACGTTAGCTCTCATTAAGCTAGCACAAGTATAAGTAGCATGGGCAGCAGCAGTGGAGGCATGGCTTAGCTGTGCCAAGTACATACCCACCTGTTTCAGGTGGGTTTGTACTTTGGATGGCCAAGACTCTGCTGCAATTGCCTGTGCTACTGGGCTATGCTTCTATTTATACATGCACTAGCTTGATGAGAGTTAGCATGAGTAGGTACATGTGAGCACACCCCTACCTTGTAGTGTGGATGTAGCAAATGAGACTTAGGCTCCTAAACCATGCAGGTGCTTTTGAAAACTTTACGTCCATACACTCGTGATTCAGTGTTAGCTCAGCTAAAGTAAACTTGTTTGTGGTGGGCATGGCCATTTTGCGGAGAACTCAGCCAGCTGAAAGCTTCATGAGAATCCATCAAAGCATTTCTTACTGGGCTAATCATTGTGGTATTTAGGCTGCAAAAACTAAATTAAGAATCACATTGGGCCAGATTGTGCAAATTATACGCGGCCCTGACTGAGGTGGTGGAGCTGCACTTCTCAGAGGGAACTCCAGGCAGGGTTAAGGCCTCAGGAGACAGTCCTTCACCTTGCACAACCCTGCCACACAGTGTGGTGCAGCTTGCTCCGACTCCCCAGCTAGCTCTGCAGGTCAGTGTAAGGACAGCATGATCTCACCTCCTCCCTTTCCTGTCCCTGTTGGGTTGGCTTGTGCCTTTAATTACAGATCCTTAGGGGAAGGGACTTCAATTGCAACCTGTCACTGTGAAGGTGATTCAAGACAGGTAGGAAGATGCTTTGGAGCCTCTTGTCCTCACACATCTACGTAGGGAAAGGAGACAATTTAGCCCATTCCTTTTGTCTGCAAAGGATCCATCATCTCTTGATATAACTTCTGTTACTTAATGAGAGATTTTTTTACAACATTCATGCAAAATCCATTCTTCAGCTGTTGTAACTGAGGGAAGGCCTTCTCAAAAGAGAGGCTCTGGCCTTTAAATGGTCAGGCTCTGGCTTAACTTGATATCTGGTGTCAGAGTTCTACAGCTCATGGAGTTTCACTGCAAAGCAAGAACACCCTGTCCTCAGCTCTATAACATGCAGTCTTGGGCATCATCACATGTATCATTCCTAGGAGAGCACTGTTGTCTCACTGGATCCTGGATGGAGAAGCAGTTTCAAAGATAGCTAAGCCCTAACTCAATAAGGGATTTGGGGATTCAGACCAGGATGTTGAAATGAATGGGGAGCTAGTTGAGTAGAGGAACGCTAGTGTGATATGCTCCTGTCAGCCTTGTGAAAGGTGCCTGTGCCTGCTGGAGTTGTGATGTAGGCCATCACCATCAGCCCAAGGTAGAGTGCACTGCAGCAGTCACATCTGGAAAAAGTGGTGAAAAAAGTATTGATATCAGGCTAGATCCTTGTCCAAGAGAAGTGAGCATATTGTCTTGGCTAGTCAAAGATGGAAGAAGGCAGTTCTCCTTGCTGTAAGTAATTTCTGTTTAGAACAGTCCAATAGGACACAGAGATTGCATGTTACCTTGACAATTAGTGGACACA